GGTGGGGGACACCTCCGGCCCCCCGAACCGCCTGTAGAAGTCCTCGGGGGCGCTCTCTGTGGGGACAGAGGTGCGGTGTCACCCCCGCAGGGACACCCCGTCTGCTGGCACAAGGGGACGGGGGGGGGCTGCGGGAGGGATCCTGGGTGCTGATTGGCTGGGGAGTGGGGGGGATCTTGGCTGTGGATTAGCTGGGGAGCTCTGTAGTCTGGGGAGATCCAGGGTACCGATTGGCTGGGCTGTGTGTCAATGGGGGATCCTGGGCTCTGATTGGGAGGGCAGCGCTGCAGGTCTGCGTGAGACCCTGGGCACCGGCTGGCTGGGGACTGCGGTGGGTCCATGGGGGACCCCGAGCTCTGACTGGCTGGGCAGCAGGGCAGTGGGGGCGCTGCAGACCCTCTGCCATGTGCAGCCACCCCGGGAGCCTGGGGGAACTGGGGTGCCTGTCCTGCCCGTGCCTCTCTGCGAGCCGCCTGCCCCTCCACACCCGTCTGCAGGGTCCACGGGGCACATTCCCCCCACCCCGCCACCATCCCGGCCATGCGACAGCAGCACTCACCTCCAGCCTTGAGCGTGGCGTGGGCAGCGTAGGCGGGGGGCGGCAAGGCCAGGCCGCTGGCCAGTGGCAGACGCTTGCCGTGGCCGTGGGGCCGCCCCAGCGGGGGTGCAATGGCCACCGCATTGTTCAAAGGTGAGTTGTCTGGAGGAGCAGAGACAGGTGCTCAGCCATGGGCAGCACCCTCCTGCTGCCTTTATTCACCCAAGGGAGCTTATTTTTCCCCACTGCACCAGTACCTTACCTGTGCCGGTCCTGGGGGGCCCCCGGGGCAGCCCCTCACCCAGTGGGACCTGCACGTCCCCCACGAGGCCATCCACATGCTCAGAGGGGCCATGGCCCGGCTGCTTCAGCAGGTCCGTCAGCGTCCTGGGAAGGAGGTGAAGGGCTGTCAGGGTGATACCCGACTCCTCCAGCCCTGCCTATGCACCCCAGCCCTGAACCCCGCCCTCTGGAATCAGAGCTGGGCAGCCGGAGGCTAGCAAATGGCCACTGGGAGCAAGGAGTGCACCCAGGCTTCCAACCCATCTTTTTCAGGGGGGGCTAGTGAGCCCCCTCAACGGTGAATTAGGGTCTAGCTGGAGCTGAGACCTCCCAGGGCCGGGAGCATCAGCAGATGAGGCCAACAAAGGAGATGCATGGCTCGGGGCAGGCTGCGAGGGTATGACAAACTGATCCGAAGGGAACCGAACTGACGGCGGCTGGAGTGACACTTTGGGAATGTTCCCCCAGAACACAAGCCTGGTGGAGAGAGGGGAGAAGAGGCGAAACCTCCACTCGAGTCCCTTCAAAGCTGAGAAGACCCTGAGGAAGGGATTAGAGAGGCCACTTGTGCCCGTTTGGGGATGAGGGTAAACTAGCAGCGCACATGCTGTCCCTGCATAACACCCTCTTTATAAGTAACAGCATTAAACATTAAACACCATTACGTAAGATGAAGCCCCATTTTGTTTAACATTCATGGACAGAGATGATGCAGTCCCACTGTGGCACACTGGCAGTGCTGGAGCTGGGCATGCGGGCAGTGTCAGAGCAGGACACACCAGCAATGGCGGAGCAGGGCACACAGCAGTGCTGGAGCAGGTTATGCCCACACAATGTTGCAGCCTTTGGCAGGGAGTCCCAGGGCAGGATGGGATATTCCTGCTGGCGTTGGTCTCCATGAGGAGGACACCCACCATTCCCCCCTGCAGAGACCGGCCCTGCATGACTGCAAGGGCTTAGGGATGTCCACTCAGGGCTTTTTTTGGCTCCCTAATCCATGGCTTACTGTCAGCACACCTCGCACCTCAAAGGCTCTTCGTGGCTCATAGACACACACTGGAAGCTGCAGCAGGAGCTCACAGTTAGCAAGTGTCTGGATGATAAAACAGCAGATTAAGCTCAACATGGATAAATGCAAATTGGAGAGGAAGCGGGGAATAATCCTGTCTTGATGGATGTATCAGCTCGTGGCTCGAGAGCACTCAAAAGCCCAGTGAACCTTGTGCAGGGAATTGCCAGGGAAGGCAGAGAGAACAACGGGGAAAGCAGTGCATTATGCCTGGGGATGCAGATGCTCAGGAGACCCTGAGCACTGTTCTGGGGACATTTTCCCTCCCAGTTTGGATCCAGTCAAATCACAGGGCAATGGCAAGAGCAAAGCTACATGCGAGGGTTGCTTGTCCTTTGTGTTCAATTGACATAATTCTTGGGGAGCTTTGGGTAACAACCCCCCTAGGATCACTTAACCTCCAAATGGGCCAACAGACACTCATGGAGCAAACAAAATTGAAATGAGGGGGGAAAAACCTCTGGCACCAGTATATACTGTGAGTTTACCAGCTGGAAGGCAACTTGGCAGAGAAGGACCTGGGGATCATGGTGAACACCAAGATGACCATGAGCCAGCAATGTGTCCTTGGGGCAAAGGCTGCATTAGGCAAAGGGTTGCTAGCAGGACCGAGGGAGGTGATCCTTATCCTTCCCCTCTGCTCAGCACTGGTGAGGCCTCACCTGGAGTGCTGGCTCCAGCTCTGGGGTCCCCAGCACCACAGAGACATGGATATAGTGGAGAGATTCCAGCAAAGGGCCACAAAGATGATGGAGGGACTGGAGCATCTCTCTTGTCAGGAGAGGCTGGGAAAGCTGGGACTATTCAGCCTGGAGAAGAGAAGGCTCAGGGGAATCTTATGTATTAATGTGACTATCTGAAAGAAGGTTGCAACAAGGACAGCGTCGGGCTGACAAGAGGCGATGGGTGCAAATGAAAACACAGGGAATTCTGTTTAAACAGAAGAAACAACCTTTTTTCTTGCAAGGGTAGTCAAATGCTTGATCAGACTGCCCAGGGAGGCTGTGGCACCTCTATCCTGCAGCTATGCAAACCCCTGCACTTCCTCAGGAGCCCTCCTGCACCCGACTGACCCCAGCACTGGGCCCCGCCAGGCTCCTTTGGTCATGGGTGCTGCACCCAGAGAAGCTCTGGGCACAACCCCGGGTGGGCTGCAGGCTGTGCCCAGGCAGGGCAGTGGGGAGGCAGGTCCCCCTGAGGCTGTGTGCTGTCAAGCTGGGGAGCTCCTGCCCATCAGCTGCCACCTTCCCCAGGGTGTGCTGCTCGCTGGCCCCCTCACCACTGGCCGCTGCCTGCACTTGCCTGTCCCTGGGGCCCAGTGCTCAAACAGGCTTGTTTCACCAGGAAGTTCAATGCAATTTGACCTATTTTTCTTTTTTTTTTTTTTTTTCCTTGGGTCTATTAATGAAGCTTGAGCTTTCTCTGTGACTTCCTCTCCAGATAAATCCATCAGTGCTCTTTCTCATAAGACTGCCCTCCCCACAGGCCACCTGAGGTGTGTGGACGATAACAGTTAACAATAATGGCACAGTCTACTAACGAGCTATTTTGCTAAGGTGAGAAGCATGAGACCTCAGCACCAGCAACACCCTGACTCACCCCCCACCTTGCACCATAAGCCATGGGCCCCCAGGGGCTGCACCCCCCCCTCCCTGTCCCCAGGTGGTGTGGTGCAGGGGAGGTAGACCTGGAGGGTGACACCGTGCTGAAGAGCTGCTGTCTCACCATATGTGTTTTTGGGGGTTTTATGAGTCCTAACCTGGTCATGTGTCTGGGGGGCTTGGTGGAGGTCAGGCCACATCTCCCTAG